CCCCAAAACCCCAAAACCCCAAAACCCCAAAACCCCAAAACCCCATTTTTCAACATTTTAGTTGAATCAACTCCTGATAAAATCTCGTTTTGGTTGGATGGGGTCTTAGAACTCGAAATAAGGAAGTTTAAGGAGGTCACTCGCCGAAGGGCGCTTATCAGGATCATATGTCAGCATCCAAAGGATGATCACACGGCATTCAAATGAAGCATGAGGTATTAATTTCGAGATTCCTGAATACTTCTTGAAAGGGAAAGTGAGATCTTTATAGCTAGATAAAATTTGAAACTTTTCCAATATCTCTTGCTTTGGAGTTCCGAAGATGTCATGAATCTTTAGAACCTGGTCAAGCTCGCTTCATCCTGGGAACAAAGGAGTTAGAGTCAAGAGTTCATAGAAGATTCATCCTGCAGCCCAGATATCAGCTTTAGCGTCATAATATCCATCTGTTAGCAATCATTCAGGGGCTGAATACCAACGAGTAGTAAGACAATCTGTAAATGGAGGTTCTACCGAGCTATCTCTGCAGCTTCCAAAGCCTCCTAGTTTAACAGTATCTCCCTTAAGTAGAATGCTTTCCGGTTTAATATCACGATGCATACCTCCATTTTGGTGAAGGTGATCAATAGCTTTCAGCAGTTGAAGCATGTATCCTTTGACCTTCTCCTCAGATAGAGGCTCTGCCAGATCCTTTATAGCTTCATACATATTCATATCCATTAACTCGAAAACATAGGAGAGCCTTCCTGTTGGCTGATCAAAAAGGATCTCCTTTCATTTGACAATGTTCGGATGGGAAGAACACTTTCTGATCAGTTGGATCTCTCTTATCTCACTTATTTTTCCTGTAAATATGGATCAAAGTGGCAAGGTAGGATCTTCTAGTTCTTCTGATTCAGTTCCCTTTTTATAAACTCTGTTCATACACTTCAGAGCGGCCAGATCGTCAGTCTTGATATGCCTCGCTTGCATTACTTCAGCATGGTTGCCTTCACTAAGAGTCTTGATTACCTCGTAATTGTACATATTTTTGTTCAATAATTGAAAAATATGATGGGGTTTTGGGGTTTTGGGGTTTTGGGGTTTTGGGG